CAAATAATACCCCGAAAATTGTTCCATCCTCCTTGTGACATTATAAAACTTGGGGAAGCTATAAATCATCCATTTCATAATAAAAATATCCAAACGCCTTTTGATAACTCACTTTCCTCTCAACCTAGCTATATATCCTTGTTAACTTCAACTTCAATAACCTACATCAACAAGCATCTCCCGTGAATGTTTGGAATTTTTTGATAACTCACTTTCCTTTCAACCGAAAAAATATATTTTGCAATAACCAACATTACAAGTATATTTCCTTAATGTTCATTATCTAATTTTTAATAATACAAGTATTAGTTTCCTTTCATATATAAGACTGTAAAAGTATCTGGTTTGTTATAATAATTAGACAATGGTTTAAAGTCATCATGAGTGTTTGCGTCTAGATCTTTGAACACGTCAAAGGTGTTCAATAAGTTGTCAATACGACGCCGTATGGTGAATCAGTCAAGTATCTCTATTATGTCCAATCACATAAAATGATGGCACACTTTTTCTGAAAAACCTCACACATCAGTCAGAACCATTTTTAAAATTGTTCCAGCCTCCTATTGCGTTTATTTTGACTTTTTTTTAGTGCAAAAATTCTTGAAAAAATGGTAATAAATAGTAGGATGATCCAAAAAATACCCCGAAAATTGTTCCAGCCTCCTTGTGACATTATAAAACTTGGGGAAGCTATAAATCATCCATTTCATAATAAAAATATCCAAACGCCTTTTGATAACTCACTTTCCTCTCAACCTAGCTATATATCCTTGTTAACTTCAACTTCAATAACCTACATCAATAAGCATCTCCCGTGAATGTTTGGAATTTTTTGATAACTCACTTTCCTTTCAACCGAAAAAATATATTTTGCAATAACCAACATTACAAGTATATTTCCTTAATGTTCATTATCTAATTTTTAATAATACAAGTATTAGTTTCCTTTCATATATAAGGCTGTAAAAGTATCTGGTTTGTTATAATAATTAGACAATGGTTTAAAGTCATCATGAGTGTTTGCGTCTAGATCTTTGAACACGTCAAAGGTGTTCAATAAGTTGTCAATACGACGCCGTATGGTGAATCAGTCAAGTATCTCTATTATGTCCAATCACATAAAATGATGGCACACTTTTTCTGAAAAACCTCACACATCAGTCAGAACCATTTTTAAAATATTACTGAATATTTCTCCTCATCTATATGAGTGACTATATCTTCACTCTATTTTTTTTTTTCTCAGTATATGTTTACTTTGAGGGATTCCACAAATATATAATATAGCTGAGTTCTTGAGAACATTCTGTGGTGTGTGTGTGTGTGTGTATATATATATATATATGTAGAGAGAGAGAGAGAGAGAGGTTGGGTTGGGGATGGGGTGGCTTCGCTGGTTTTTTTTTTCTCAGTTGGCTGGTGATAGGGCTGGAAGAAGGGAGAGAGAGCTGGGCTGGGATGAATGAATTTCCTCCCTTTTTTTCTAATGTATATATATATTTTTTACAGATTCTGATTTTCCACCAAATTTTACAAAGAAATGTTCATGTACCATTTTCATCATGAACTTCCCATAGATTTTAGATTAATAATCATCCCCACTTTTTCTATTTTGATTGTTCTCTCATAATTCTTCTTTTTAAATGAAATTTGAAAAAGCATTCTTTCTGGGTTTGGGTTTTAGCCATATTTGTATTTTTTT